TGCATTCATGATGCTTCTTTACATGCCCACAAAATAAATCTTTAAGCTGGACAAATTTCATTCCACATTATTTGGTTTGTTCTGCCTGCCCGAATAATCTTCTATTAACTTGCACACGTTGCTTACGCTAATTGCGCTTATCTTCGGTAATTTTATCGCGTTTTTAGCATTTATTGAATAACTTGTGGACATTTTGCACTTATCGCGGATTCGATGCTAACCAACTTACTTCATATGCTAATTTAGCGAAGAGTTATGTCACCGTATATGTATGCATTATTGGATTTAGTTTATTTCATCTTGTCGTTTCAAGTGATTGGCTGTTGCTTGATATCCCCGGTGTGGCTGCGCTTGATGCAAATGTTGAAAAGGTGCCTACCTGTCTATTACCCATTACCTTCTCCATATTGGTTCCGGGAGACAGTTGGTCGTTGCTGGGGGAGACGGGGTGCACGAGCCTTGTGGCCGTGCTAGGCTCAAAGAGCGGTTCCATGCACTCAGTGTGGAGCGGACTACGGTCCAGCCACCGCCTTGTGTGCGCTTGATTCCCCAAATACAGCGTGCTTGTGTTTGCCTGTGAAGGAGTGTGAGCCGGCTCCGTTGATGAAACGTGGTTCCCATCCGCATGCCCCCCCGGTCTTATTCCTTCGGGTTTACACTGGATATGTGGTATGTGGTTGGAGCTGCCGGTGGTGCAGTGCAAAGCATCCATGGTCCCTCTGTAGGCACAGGCGTCCTGTGGCTGGCCACAGTGACAGGCAAATCCGAAACCGGATGCCGCCAACCATGTGTGTCTGGGACTACAGTCAATGGCCCTCACGTGGTAATTAAACCAACAGAGCCCGACTTGTCGTGTCGCCGTTGGTTGCACGCATCCGGAGACGCGTGGTGGGTACCGTACTCAACAAAGGCTGAGCCATCACTGGTTGATTGGATTCCCGTGAGCATCCGCTTGTGTACAGCCCGTTTCACGGCAGCAACTAAGGTTGCTTCAGGAAGCAGTAAAACACGCTATTTGTTTGTGGTTTCCGCTTAGGCCCCCACCGATTGTAGTTCTGATACTGCGAAGGATGCCTAATGATACGAGGTGGGCACAATACTACGGAGAGTTACGAGTTCAGGTATCACAGTTCTTGCAGAGGATATGAATCCGCAAGTGGGTCGTCTGAGCTCTTCAGAAGCTCATCTAGGTGGTAAGTATGGACTGAACTCCAACCGGAAGGACAACAGCAAGCATCTGTTAACACTGCGTTCGGCTATTCCTTAAAAGCACCGCTTTTAGACACAGTCGACACCGAAGTGACAATTGATCCCCCCCCCCAAAGCTAGCCAGCGATGGATCCAAATAAGTCACGTTGCTGTAAGTTGGGCGCAGCGTGATTCCATCCTGGATAGTGAGTTTCTGGAGTACTTGCTTCGACTCGGATCATGACTTGCTATGTTGTCGATTATCCATGAACTTAACCGGGAGGCGTAACTAGTGCCTCCATCGATTGGTAACCGAATTATTTCAGCTCTCGGTCAATCAAGCATACCTGTATGCACTGCGTACCGAACTTTCGCTCTTATGTCCTAATAATACTGAGTTTCAGCGGAATAGGATCTCTTCAACCATGCACGAGGCAGGAGCATCTGCTTGTGGCACTATCAATAGTCACCGCACCAGTCATTGGATATCCGAGAGCTCTGTGGACCTGTTGGAATCTAAAAGAAAACTCTTGGCTGATTCTGAACACAATGTGACCAGACGGACTAGTAGGCGCGAACTAAAGCGGAGCCTGCATGCTGACAATAAAGCCTGGTTGACCAGTCGGACTCAACATATGAAGGAGGCAGGAGCAGTAAGTAATTACTGCAAGCTGTTTCAGCTGATCCACATCACCGGCCCAGGAAATCGGGCGCCAGTGAGACAATCAGAGATAGCGCAGGTGCATTGGTACACAATAAGAAGCGCCGTATTGCTCGTTGGGCGGAACACTTTCAAGATCAGTTCAGTTTGCCCCGTACTTCCGACCTCTTCCTATTCAGGTGGTGCAGGACGAGCCATAGCCGGTTAGTTCGGAGGCTGAGATCCGAACCGCGATCGCAGTCCTCATTCGTTTCGTGCTGCTGGCCCGAAATCCCTCTCACCCGCACTATTTAAGGATGGTAATGAGGTCCTCTGCAAAGCACTGGATTCCCTATTCGGAAAGATCTGGAAGGAAGAGACCATCCCGGCTAAATGGAGTGAAATGATTACAATATACAATTACGATTACAATATACAAGAAGGGCAAGGGCATCGACAGGGTTGTTAGCTCAACGCCAGTAGGGACGAAGTTACTGGCCTCAATTCTCGTTCGTCACATCACTGCGGAACGGGAATCCCGGATAAGGGAAGAGCAAGCAGGTTTCCGCCCAGGACGGGGCTGTTTAGACCACATATTCACTTAGCGGCTGGTGCTAGAGCAGCGCTACACGTACTGCTCTGTTCGTCGACTACACGAGCACGATCGATCCATTCTATCCGCAACACTAGCACGGAAAGGAATTCTCATGAAATATGTAAACAGTATACGTGATCTGTACTCGAATATTACAGTCCGCGTCAGGACCTACGGTGATGTATCAAATAGCTTCCAGACAACAAGTCGCATAAGTTATGGTTGTTTAATCTCCCCATTTTGCTCAACTTCGTCGTGGACTCCATCATGGGGTGTTTCCTTTGCGGAGCCTCAGGATGCAGGCGTAGAGGTGCTGCCTGGTGAAAAGCTAGCTGATCTCGATTATGCGGGTGATGTTTCCTTGCTTTTCAACGATGCTGGGGCAGCCCAATCAATGCTGAATAACGTCGCTAGAGTAGCTCATTATCTGGCATACGCTTCACACCTTCAGAGTGCAGCGTTGTTAAAGGACTACCAACCAGTTGATGAACCCTTGACCCTTTATAGCAAGGAACTCGAGATATTTGATCAACTCACATACACTGGAAGCTGAAGTAGCAACGATGGGCGCATAGCAACTGAAGTCAGTTCATGTAGTACAAAAGCCAGGACTACTTTCTTGAGTTCGCGACAGATGTGGCGTCAGAAAGGAGTTTCTGTCGGTCTGACAACTCATGTTTACAAGGCCACAGTGAGGGCCATCCTGATCTATAGGAGTGAGAGTTGGCTCCTTCGATCTGTAGCGCCCCTAAGTCATTGGTTACCGCTATCTGCGAAGCATTGGTGGTGTCGGGTAGTACCAACGCGTCCGCAATGATGATATGCGTTAGAGAGTGCTAGGCAATGATAATCAGGCCAGTACCGTAGAACAACAGATGATAGCGATTAGCGCCGCAGTGAAGTGAACCTTGCATTGTCTCGGGAAAGTACTACGCATGCCCGGTCACCGTCTACCGAGGATGGCCTTGTTTGGTCCGCCAGATGCAGAGTGGTGCAAGGCTCGAGGTGGACAAAAGTTGACTGGCATCGGGAAATTAAGTCACTGACGATCAAACTGGGTGCTATCGGTCCGTGTCACCTTCCAGACTGGAGTCCACATGACACGTCTTGTGCTTGGCTCGGGACTTTAAAGAACATGGCTCGCAGTCGAGACCAGTGGCGCGTCTGCTATCGTCTTGTAATCGGACTACTTGTTTAAAGTATGTTTGGTGCTGATTTATTTGCGGGGTGATGGCTGTTTATGACGCGGGGCAGAGAAGGCCACAAGAGATCTGTCTCGCCGATGTCACCATTTCTTAGCATGATAGCCATCTGTTTGTGACGGTATGTTGTTGACAAGGTTTTAGACTAGGTCCCCGATCTCTCCCTCTTATTAATTTTCATTCCTAAGGTTCTACGACAGTGTAACATCAGTCCAAGTAGCTGCCGTTATGCTGCTGCTGATGATGATGATGAAGGTAAGGTTGGTTTTTGCCATTTTGGGTTAAGATCCTTCGGATGGTACACATCAGTTGCTGAAGATCCAGTCGGACGTGGCACAGCCATGCAGTCAGTAAGTCTTTTGTATTCAGTTTCATGCACCTAAATGGTAGCGTTTCGTCCTGATTGATTTTACGCACTTTTTCAGTGCTTTCTTTTCTTTGATTTCTAATTGTGTTCAACCTCATTTTCTTACTATCGTTCTTTTTTATCATACTAGTGACATGAGTTGTGGGAACTGGATGCATCATGCTACGGTGAATGGCCCATAGTTGATTAACGGAACTGAACCGAGATGTCAGAGAACCACGCATTCAGCACTGTGAGCATAGCAAATGTACTGGTTACTGTTATGGTTGAAGAGAAGCAACAAGAGCCGAGTTAATTACCAATCTTATTTGGGATCTTAGCATTTGTGTAACCGTTACTAGCACTTCTAAACTAGGGCAGAGAAAATGAAGAGGCCTTCGTATGCAGTGTTTAGAATGAACAGAACTGTAACTACATAGTCCCTGAGGATCAAATGGTTTCTCAGAATAGGTGGGAGGATGGAGCAGTTGGGGTTTCAGAGCAGCGTTCGGTTAGCAAGGTTTAGTGGCTTACTGGAAGGTACATTATGAGTACAGGCCCCAAGAGACCACACCTTTGGATGTATCCAGGCCTCGCCGAAGGTAGTGTTAATCTTTAGATCATAAAGCTGACTATCTACATAAGCAGTGCTACACTCACGTAGAACGGACCAAGTCCGCAGCAAGTGGAAACTAGCGTGAAACCTTTATGACAAAGAAAGATAATTACCCATGGCTGACCCATCGCAACAGGCGAATGCCACTCAACGGTGACGACTAATACACGAGGCGGGTGAATCCGCCGATGCAGCCTTGAAGAAATGGCTGCCAATGGGATTCGAACTAATGCTCACGAAGTAGCTGACGCGACATGTCAGTCACTCCGTGAGCACAGAGTCATTATCTTTAAGAATACAAAGCGGTTGAAGCGCACACATTCATGTGAAGAATCTAGCTGTAAAACGCATTGTTCCTGGAGACGAATAATAATCATATGGTGAATGACGGCAACATACGTGATTAAACGTACCAAATATGTGTCTCGACACCCAACTGCGTTGCTTCACATTACTGTTCGATTGACCACCCAGGCTATCAAACCTAAGAAAACAAGAAATAGGCGCGCAGAAGTAAGGTACCTTGTCGGGAACCAGAGAAAAGTAAAACTCGGCTAGGATAGACACAGAGAGAGTCAAGTCAAAGTAAGCTTTATGTAAACAGATGGGTACTGTTTCAGTACTTTACAATAACGACAACGTAGGAGCTAAAATTACATTATCAGAACTAATTTTGTAGGAATGGATAAAAGGACACTGTGTAGAAGTGTCACCTGAATAAACGATCAGTGTAAAAGAGCAAAAATTAAACAGTTCAGGAAAAAAACAATTTAAAGCCAACGTTGCAAGCTCGAATTTCAATTGGACGGTGCATGTTTACGTGTACGGTATGTTGAATTTCTTACGCGAAGGACAGTAGCGGTGACCTTGGAAATAGCTTGACTGATATCACTGTTGAAATATTCTGAGAAAACTAATACATCCATAGCAATATTGCAAAAACGATGTTTAGTGACAGCGGCATGGTCTATGTAAAGGCCCGGCCAGAACAGAGATCAACAACGACTGTTAACGCGTCCAACGAGTGTTTACACTGGAACACGTTATCTCTATCTGGATTTTGGTTTAATTGAAGTAGACGGGTCATTGCGATGACTGGGACAGCATCGGAAGTGGAGAGATATCGCAGTTAGCCGCTGCTAACACTGTTATGTCTCAGATTTGTGAATCTATCGCAAGAAAATCGGGAGTATTTGGTTTAATCAAATGATCCCATTTAATTCATAGTGATCAGATTCAGGTTCACTCGCTCTTATCTGTGCATACAATTTCCAAATTTTACTAGCTTATCGTCATTCACAACCATCCTCATCTACCGATGTCGCGCGAAACCGAGACGAATTCCTCGCGCTGCACCACCCACAGCTCCATCCACACACCCCATATCCAGTGTAAACCCGAAGGAATAAGACCGGGAGGCATGTGGATGGGAATTACGTTTCATCAACGGAGCCTGCGCACACTTAATCACAGGTAAACGCATGCATGCTGTATTTGGGGTATCAAGCGCACGCAAGACGTTGGATAGGCCGTAGCCTGATCCACACACTGACCATGTGCTTAGAACCACTCTTTGAACATAACATGGTCATGAGGACCGCAAACCACGTCCGCTCCAGTAGCGACCGTCTCCTGGAAAGAGTATGGACGAAACAGTGGGTAATAGACAGGTGAGCACCTTGTCAACACGTACATCAATTGTAGCCACACCGGGGATGTCAAACAAGAGCCAATCACTCGAAAGGAAGATATCAAATAAAAGATATGGAATAAAGTAAACTAATATGACGACGCAAACACTCGCTAAATGAGCATATGGGGTAAATCGGTTATTAGCGAATCCGCGATAAGTACACAATAAACGAAAGTAATTTTAAAAATTCCACGTGATAGAGTTACGCAAGTTTACCACAAATAGCATGAACGACGCGTGCAAGTTAGTAGAAGATTATCAAGTACGCAGTACCAAGCAAATAAAGTGCAAGGAAGTTTATCCTCCCTAAAAAGAACTAGTTTAGGTGTAGGTTCAGCTTAACTGCGATGAAGAAGCATCATGAATGCAACATCAGCCTCAGCATAGGGCGCAAATATTTGGTTGGCGGCATCCGGTTTCGGATTTGCCCATTACTGTGGCCAGCCACAGAACGCCTGCGCCTACAGAAGGACCATGGGTGGCTGGCATTGCACCACCCACAGCTCCAACCACACACCCATATCCAGTGTAAACCCGAAGGAATAAGACCGGGAGGCATGCGGATGGGAACCACGTTTCAACAACAGAGCCGGCCCACACTCCTTCACAGGCAAACACAAGCACGCTGTATTTGGGGAATCAACCGCACACAAGGCGCTGGCTGGACCGTAGTCCGCTCCACACTGAGTGCATGGAACCGCTCTTTGAGCCTAGCACGGCCACAAGAACCGTGCATCCCGTCCCCTCCAGCAACGACCAACTGTCTCCTGGAGCCAGTATGAACGATGTAGTGGGTAATAGACAGGTAGGCACCTTTTCAACATTTGCATCAAGCGTAGCCACCCCAGGGATATCAAACAACAGCCAATCACTTGAAACGACAAGATGAAATAAACTAAATCCAATAATGCATACAGATACGGTGGCATAACTCTTCGCTTAATTACCATATGAAGTAATTTGGTTAGCAACAAATCCGTGATCAGTAAGAAATGTCCACAAGTTACCTAAAATGCTACAAACGCAACAAAATTACCGAAGATAAGCGCAATTAGTGTAAGCAACGTGGCCAGTTAATAGAACATGATTCAGGGTGGCAGAACAAACTAAATAAACCGGAATGAAATTTATCCAGCTTAAAAAGACCTAGTTTAAGTGTAAGTTGGTTTAGCCCAACTGCGGTGAAGAAGCATCAAGAATGCAACATCAGCCACAGCATGGGGCATATATATATATATATATATATATATATATATATATATATATATATATATATATATATATATATATATATATATATATAATCTGATCCTGTACTGATGCGACCAATTACAAAAAAGACATAAAGTACAGGCATGTCATTAAATGCACAAATAGTGCACAATGGAAGGGTCTGTCACAGAATGTGAATCACGCCAAAGGGTTAGTTCACATAAAATTCAGCTGAACTCCCGGGCCAATTACACATGAGTCCGGCTCCGAGACCAGACAAAGCCCCACTGCTTGAGACGACTGAGGAGCAGGTCAAATTGCAGCTTCGCCGCAGCTGGGATTGCGTACCGCGAAAAGTACACATAGAGAGAACTTTAAATCGAAAAGAGCAGAAATACTTGCTCTCTTATACCACAAATTGCTCCAGCGCTGTCACTAGTCATTAAACTCAAAAGATACTGCGAAGTGCGCATCTGCAAGGTGGGATCATAGTCAGTAGGAACGCGATGCCGGTTTACGTACCCACTACTGAAGCGGATAGAAGAGATTCTACGAGTGAATGTAGGCACAAAAGAAAGCATCCGAAGAATATTCCAGCACTTAAACAAATAGGAAGTAGGCTGGACGTAGGAGCTCATCGGCTTATGAGACAGTACGATATGGGAGCACAAGTCGGCGTACTCCAAGTCAAAAAGTTGATCACATGGGAGCAGCTCAACATTTTGTAGGTCGTGTCCACTAAACGCAGTTTCCATCACTTTGTTGATGGGGAAATTAAAAAGAAACAGTAACAACCGGCTGCCTTGCCTCGCATCGCTGAAGATATTGAAGGGCGGCGATAGCTTGCCGTAATCCGTCACTCTGCCCGAACTGCGCGAGTACAGCGCTCTGATAGTGCTTACGTATTCTTCGAGTACACCTTTGCTGAGTAGATAGTCACATGGACGCATCGATCAACCGAATCGTAGGAACCACTGATGTCGAGGAACATAACTACGGTGGGTCGCCAATAAATAGGAAGTTGCTCCAACAATAGGTGTAATGTAAAATGTGATCAATACAGCCGCGACTTCAACTGAACACGGCTTCCTTCTCACGAATCATGTTTTTTCTATATATCATAACATTTTGTATTGCGGCACAATAGTTGAAGTGTTTCTCACATACAGCTAAAGTGTAGTAATGCAGACAATAAAGATGATGGTGTGAGCACAAGCACTGAGACAGGAGGATTTGTTGGACTAGAAAATTGATGCTCACAGAGCGCAAACACACATTGTCAGATCAGTCATTCTCCTCACCTATGGGAAGACACGTGTTGGCCTCGATTAGATGTGTTGTGGTTCGCGGAGTTGTCAACGCTTCGCCTCCCCCAATGTGGTGTTCTCTCAGGACCAGGTCCATCACCATTCACGAACCATTCAGAGGAGAGCTTCGTCTCCGTACGATTACCAGTGTCGGTGGCATATGTGTAGACATAAGAAGAACTGGTGGAGGCCAGACGGCTAGACAAGCTTGTGTCATCGTAATTGGGTACAACAGATTCGGTGGTGCGTGTGTGAGAGACGTTGGTCGCTCTAGTGTTAGTGGTCGGAGTGAGAGCCGCGTCAGAGCTAATGCGCGCACCGCCGCCCACACGTCTAGAGCGTCTTGGTCGACCGGGGTGAGATGCCTCAGACGTATTCAGTGATCCAACCGCATCCGATGTGTTGTTTGTGTTACGCTGGCGTTCCACAGCACTTACCCGCTGTAAAAGCGACAAAACAGATTGGCAGTAAGATTGAGTATGCAGCCAGTTTTCACAGGAAGGCCGAAGAAATTAAAGTGAGGCGCAGGGAACAAATACAAGAATGCATATTACCATGCTCCCATTTGTGCTATCAATATGGCAGGACCTATTAATGAACAGGTCGCAGAAAAGGTATACGGGTTAGTTAAGTCAACATGTGACTGTTGAATTTCCAGACTCAAAATCTAATCGCAAGGTGGAAGCAGCACATGCAGCGTGAACTAGGAACTGTGCCACAATGCTGATAGAAAGTACTAATATTCACGACGGCTTTCGGACTTGATTGTTCTCATCAGGAAGAGATGGCAGACATCGAAACCGACGGGCAACGCTTGTCACAACGGTTAATGGCTGATTGGATGAGTCATTTGAAGCACTTCAATGTGAATCGCGGTCCCGAATGAGAATGCGAGTCGCAATCGATTCACACAACGAGTACTTTAAATGACCATACGATCAGTTAATAACCGACGTTACTATTTTGATGGTCTCGGGTTTGAAACCTGCTATCACTACCTGTTGAGATTAAATGAAATCGAAATACGTCGTGGAGTGCAGTATTTTCAGGCGTGCAACAGGTAATTCCCATCCGCTTCAGATATGGTCCCAGTAACCGAATGACCAAGGTTCACTTCAACGTAAATCTCAGTCCACATTGAGATTGCGCGTCGCGATCCATTCACACAACGAGTATTTCGAATGACTCCTTCGATCGAACACTACTCTTATATACTATCCTATGTAGCGGTATTCAAGATGACAGATAACGAAGCAGCCCTTCACACGGAGTAGGCTGCTATGATGAAATTTTTAATGAAATAGTGCATAAAACTGAACGGAATTTACGGAAGAGTTTGGTCACTGTATCCTGACGAGACATTCAGTTGCAGCAAGGCTTTGAAATGATGCAAACGCTTCATAGATGGTCATAATCTTTCGCTGACGCATTCAATCGAATTGGGTCCCAGGACATAGTTGCCATGCATGAGTACAGCCAGTGAGTCAGACAGCTACTCAATGATATCTTTCGTACAAGTTTTGCGAAATTGTAGATGTACTTAATCGGTCGTGGAGGTCGGTACATATGACAGTACATTATTGTTACTCCGAAAAGTGGATACCACATGGGTTACAAAACACCTTTCCGATTTTGATTAAGGCCGTCGAGGAGTCGAACTTGGCACTAAATTGAATAACAGTTAGGACACGGAACGCCAGTATCTACTGCATCGCATCATCCCAACCACCTTATAACCTTGATTTAGTGCCATGTGATTTGCGTCATTTGGACAAAGATGATAAAGGAAAGCAGGCTGTCTTAAACTCGTTCAGACGTACTGATAGACTTTGCCATAATGAAGCTTTCCAAGTAATAGTAAAACGCAGCTGTTACCACATAAAAAATGGAAATTCCTAAATACCTTTAAAAGTAGTTTCCGGTTTGAATTGCACCACAATCGTGCGATGTCGAAAAGCAACACATTAAACAGGATTGTAAAAGCACCGAACACAAATGAAGATCACACAATACATTATAGCAGAATACGCCAAATTCGTACTTCAGAGTTAAGCAAATATCGAAGAATACTGTAGGCAAAAAACTAGCCGTTCGTCACGAATTCCTACGTAAGAGCTGGCATTCCTCTTACACACCGGATTGTGTAAGCCCAAGATAAAGAGTGGGTTGTTTCGTGCGATGCGATTCGCGTCAATACGAGATGGTGCGGTCATGCGATGGTAGGTATAGGAGTGGGTTCAACAGGACCGAAAGGAGAGGCTATAAATCCGGACCAGACTTTAAGTAATCCACGACGGAAAAAATCAAAATGTTGAGGGAGAAAGTCATATCTAATTAAAAACCAAAACCAATCGGCAAAGTAGGCGTATCGCGTGTACGTACACAATATACAAATGCAAATAATGGGGTGGAACGATGGTCGGAACTCATAGAACACTAGTACATCTTGATTGAGAGTGCACACTCACGCTAGCGGTTTCGGTGATGGCGCATTCTGGGTGTGTGCACCGTTCACCTTGGATGATTTTACACAGGGACCGGGAAGACCGAGTAATCGATCGAGTGGAGTATCTGCGAGAGGAAAATGAAAGGTGTGGGGTAGAGAAGATCCCTCAGACCAGTGCTGACGAAGGTGAAGAGATATAACAACAAGATTGGAATTGCGTGTTGCATGCTGTCGCTCGCATATCTAGCTCCTATCTGTAAATGTAATTTCATTGAAGGTGATCAAACGATTGTCCGATACGACAGTCAACCGAAGCTCAATGAAATGCGATAAGTGTGCTTAACGTTGGAAGATGTCATACGGATATTTAATCCGATGTATCTTCATGTGTGCTCCGAATGGACTAATCACCCACCGCAAAGATGAGCACTGTAATGATAAAGAGTCAGCTATGAGAACGAAACACAAATGTCACAGTGGGTGAAGCGGTTATAGCACCCAAAGTAGAAAAATAGTCCACGTAGCCCTTACCGGGACGAAAACTGACCTGCTCTCCCATCCTCAGGGATTGTTGTTCCACAGTAAGGTTACGGATGAAAATAGAGGTCAGTGACTGTCACTATCGGCGAAAGTCAGATAAGAATGTGTCTTGCCTTCTTCATACTCCTTCTCCGCCTCATTGGTTGTCCACCGCGGAACATTTTCCAATCGCTCCCTGGGAGTGTTAATAGCGCTCGACTTGAAAGGCGATGGGCTGGCATGCGCAAAACGTGCCCGAGCCAACGCATGCGATGTTGGAGAATAACGTTATGAAGACTGGCACTAATCGCTCCAAGCACTCGATCTAGGACTTCTGCGTTGCTTACATGGTGTTGCCAACACAATCCTTCGTAGACAGCGATTGTCGAAGACTGACAGTCGCTTTATGTCTGTCGAGCGAATAAACCAAGTCTCACGGCCGGAATCATTGTACATCCTGCCCTTGAGCTTGAGACCCCATAGGTGTCTCGGTTTGATGAATGCAAGGGGGGCTTTTGCAATTCGTTGTGAGACTTCATGTCTAACACCGCCACCAACCGTGATGCAAGACCCTAGATAAGTAAAGCAAGGGACTTGCTCCAGAATATGTCTGACAACGGTGAGCGCAAGTTCAGGCACCTGCTAATTCTGCAGCAGCGTTTTACATTTTCCCGGAAGGAATCATAAGCCGTACGTAGATGTCTCCATCGCTAAGCGGTCCAAAGCGCTCTGGACGGTTTGTGGGTCGTCCCCCAGCAAGGCGATATCATCGGCGCAGTCCAAGTCCGTGACTCCAGGGAGGAGCTCGACACCGCAGTTCTAGACACCTTCCAGTGCTCCTTGAACGACATCTTCGATGGCAAAAGTGAAGGGGAAACGTGAAGTAGTGCAACCTTGGCGAACACCGCTGGCCACAGCGAATGAAGAAGAGAGCGTGCCGTAAGCCCTGATTTTGCCCGACGTGTGGTTGTGGAGTACTTATAGGATGGTTACAAACTTGTCGGACACACTTTTCTTCAGTAAACAGTTCTACAACGTAGATCTATCCACTGAATCAAATGCCGTTCGGGTGCCCAACAACACTACGATTTTTGGTCACCGGTGGATGTGACAGAGTTCGAGAAGTTAGCGGAGCGTGAAGATTTGGTCGATGCAGCCGCGGGCTGGACGAAATCCGGCCTGTTCTTCTCGTGAAAACCTTTCTCTAGTCGTTGAAAGCCTGTGAAGTAGGACAGACACGAAGATTTTGGATGCGACAGAGATTAACGAGATTCCGCGGTAGTTGCAGCAACCGTCGCGGGAGCCCTTCTTGTGAATAGGAACAATGGCCGATTCTCCCCATAAGTTCAGAACCTTCTCCTCAGTCCCAACTTTCGTGAACAGCGATAGGATTTCGTTGACAAGTACACTCCTGTCATCTTTGAACAGAGCCGGTGGTAGGCTGTCGGGACCCGGAGCCTTGTGGCGTTTCAAAGATTGGATTGCATCTCGGATCTCTGCTTCATTTGGGGGGGGCTGTGCAGACAGGACAAGCATCATCTATTGGGGCTGTAAGTGTCACAGGGGGCTGTGCCGGGTGGTTGAATTGAAGAGCGAAATGCTCTTCCCAGCGACCCAATCGCCTGTGAAGGCTGGTGTTCTTCGTGCCGTCTGATTCCCAAATCGTCTGGCAGACAGCATGGGAATTGCAAACGGTGGCTCTGCTGATGCAAAATAGACGGCGGAAATTGCCAGCCGATGCAGCAGCTTCCATCTCATCAGCTGTTTTGACAACCAAAATTCACGATCATAGCAAAGGCTTGCTTTGATCTGTTGCGTAATAGACCAACGGTGTTCGTCGTACTCTGCGTCAGCAGGCATCAACTGTCAGCGATCCAGCAATTCCGAGGGTCTTCCCGAGATCCAGCTTTTGGGAGTGGAGCGAGCGAGGCCACAGCTGGACAAACCGGCCGACAGCAAGGTTTGTTGCAGATTTGACCAGTGTTGATCAACATCTAGAGTGGGAGAGAGAGCGAGATTTTCACAAAGCTTTTGTTGATACTCCATCTTCACCATTGGGTCCTCCAACTTGTAGGTGTTCAGTCGAATGTGTTTGGACCTAGGTGAACCACCGAAACGCACGCAAACGGTCGCACATACCACTGCATGATCGATATCGACGGTATCGATCGGTAGTCGCGTACGCTGCCGCACCACCTCCGACTTATGGCTATGTGCTCAATCTGTGACCAGCGCTGGGTTGATGATGGGGCTCGCCAAGTGGTGTACTTGTGTCCAGGATGACGAAAGCTTGTAACGGAGAGAAAAAGTTGTTGATCAGTACACAGACTGAGCAGTCTCTCTCCGTTGTCTGAGTAAATGCCATCATATCTATGCGGTCCCCCGAGGTAGCGCTCACATGACAACAGCCGACCGACACGCGCGTTGAAGTCTCCTGTCAAAACCATGATGTCTGTTTTAGGAGCAGCTCATGTATGTTCTAGTGGGACTGGTCTTTGACCGTGTCCGAGCTACAGTCAGTGGGCGCGTAGGCGGAGGTCACAAAAAGAGCACGCTTTTCGACTCGACGTCTGCAAACTTGACAAGAGCTATGGAGCCCCATCACACAAAGGCAACTATTGATCGGAATCCAATCAATCAGAGCAGGCTCGGTTCTAGCACTGAGGGCGATTCCACCAGCTTGGGCAGATGCGGTTGTCGTGTCGCCGCTGACGCCTTCACCCCACGACCGCAAGTCCAAGACGAGCCAGAAGGAGACTGGAATATCATTGACTTTTACTGTTAAATACTTTCGCTTCCCTGCGAATCCCGTGCGAAAAGTAGCGAGAACTACCTTTGTGGCCGGTCCATGAAATTTAGCGCTTTTGAAGTTGATGTTTGTGCGCAATCTCGGGGGAAATGAACGTCTGAAGTTGTGCGCAACTCGACAGTGGGTTTCCTTATGACCAAACCGCTTGCACTTGTGACATTGATGCCCTTTGTAGATTTAGTCTCTCACAAAATGCCAAGCGCCACAATTCCAGCATGCGGTCCGGGGCTTCTGAGTCGACCGATTCTGGTTCATCACTTTACCACGGATAGCTGTGTGACAAATCTGGGGTTCTGTCCTGTGGTCAGCAGTTTCAATCATTTTTGTGTCGTTCTTTAAGGTAATCAGTCGCTGGCATTCGGCTGTAATCTCTTGCAGCGTCAACTGTGGTTCTTGTTCGAGCTTGTGGAGAATACGTGTTCGAATATCGGCATCAGCGTGGGACTGGAGACTGCATACGAAAATAAGACTCTTGAATTGATCAGGTGTCATCAGATCCAGTTTGAATCGTTCAAATTCGCGATTTACGATCCCCGCATGTGTGACAAAATCAACGGCATCGCGTTTGACTAACTTCAAGCAATTGTAGCGAACACTGAACAGAGAGGCCCGCTCACCAAATATCTGCGTCAGCGTTTTCACCGTCTCATCGAAGCTGAAGTCTCTTGCATTCCTCGGCAACACGAAATTTGTGTAACGTTCATGCTCGACTGCATCAAGTTTCCTCAGCAACAAACGAACTTTCTAAGCATCGTCTTGGTCTGCAAGTTCCACTCGAAAAATATCTTCATACTTTAGGAATCAGGATTCAAATGTCAATCCGTTCAATCCATCGAAAACAAATTCTGTAATTGAAGCAGCAAGGGCGTCCACAGATGGTCGTGCGGTTGTCGTCGGGGATTCGCTTTGGATGTTCAGTTTCTGAGACAACAACTCGATCAACTGTCGATGAGATTTTTCAAACTGTTGTTGCTGTTGAAGAAGCGTCTGCATTTGCTCGAACGAAATTGACATAATTACCGGAACCTCCGTCGCCAGAAAATCTGTTGTGTCGCCGCTGACGCCTTCAGCGATAGATTCGGCGTCACCAGAGCCGGAGATGGAAGCGGGTGCTTGGGCGGAGCGGTGACGCCAGCTGGTAGACCGAGTTAGAGTCTTGGAGTCGCGTTTCACTCAGGTAGCAGATATTGATTTCAAGGGTCTCTAGCGTGCGTGCAAATCCAGCTTGTGAACCGATCTGCAGTAACGTGCGTACGTTGAAGGCTGCAAGTTTAAACTGCGTTCCGGGTTGCAGGAGCGAAGATGGGAGACTTCGGGACTGGAAGCTCTCTGTTGAGCACTGTGTGGTTGAGTTGGCAGATGTCACAGGAACAGGTTCAACGGTGTAGGTAAGGTTGATTGTCATAGAGGAATCAGGGAAAATGGGTGTGAATGGGAAGGGTAGGTATAATGGTGGCGTGTGCTCGTGAAGTTGGCATAGTAATCAGAACATCTGGCTTCGCCCGTTAGTGGTTATCTATTGTGATCACAGTATCGACCTGGGCATCTACCAAGCGCACCCGCAGATCAGCACACGTAACTGCACAGTCAGTGTCCACATGTGCTCCAAATCGAGCGACAGTTTTGGACACAACCTCTCCAGCGGTAACTGATCGCGATGTGATAGATTTGCGTCCACGGCTGGTGCACGCCATGTCACTTTCCGGCGGGCGCTGTGTCGGAAGTTAATGCTCACAAGAAGTATGCGAGCATCTTCACACAAATGAAACAACCGCCCACCGTTATCATTACGGGAGC